TAATCTAAAGTTAACGCGGACGAAAGTCGGCCTGTTGCTTTTTAAACGGCTTTCTCGATGATACATCGGACGTGAAAAGGTTCAAAAAGGTTTACTATAGAAAATCGTTGAGTAGAGAAATCGAATGCTTTTGCGATTTACGACGATTCGTTTTATTTATCACTTTTCATCTCACATTTTTCTTCTTTTCTTTTTTATTTATTTTTATTTATTTACCCCCAACCCTGATTCTACACGTTCACTTGTTATAACTTTGATAAGCATGGATCTATTGAAATCTAACATATTTTTATGATATCTCAACTTTATTTCATCTTTTACTCAACCCATTGACGTTGTTGAAAATTTCTCGGTTTAAATTCTCGTTTTTCTATAAAAACTACGGGGAAAAAAATATATTTAATAATATAAAAAATACATACAAGGGACTAAAATTCTAGAATAAAAACGTTAGTTAAAAGAAAATCGATATTTTGTCTCCCCTACCCCTTCTTCATCTTATTCTTCTATTTTTACTTGTTGTTGTTGTTGTTGTTGTACATTTTGATAGCTTTTTCTTCCTCACTATTATTTACCTTAATATTATTTTTATATTTTTATACGCCATCGAGAAAAATTCGTAGCTAACGGTCTTCACATACGAAACTTAAAATGAGAAATCTTACAAAAATGTAATCAGAATAAATGAATGAAATATCATTAAATAAAATAAAATCAATTAATTTTATTAACGAATACGTTAAATATCATTTCATAGTGATACGTAACGATGATGTTTCGTATTTTTTTCAGATTTCATTCGACTTGAGAACTGAGAATTTTCTTATCTTCCATCAATCTTTCTCTTTCTTTCCTCTATCGTCAATCTCAGGAAAAGGAAGTTTCAGTTGAATCGATTGATCGAAGTTCTTCGGGTAAAACGATATTCTTTTTCGAGAGTATCATCTCCTTTAAAGCATCACCCTGATACTCGAATGTATCGTGTCTATATCGTTTCTTGATGGTACTCGATAACATCTAGAACGTTTCTACCCTCCAATGAGAAGTGAGAAGAAAGAGAGAGAATGAGAAAAATATATAGACACAGTTCGAATGATCACGTATAATACAAGTACGCGAGAGAATTCAACGATTCTTTCGAATATATTATATATATATATATGAAATGACCTACTCAAATATATTCTACAATCTCTGGAGATACGATTCTTATATTTTATGAATCATATTCTGTCGAGAAGTTATAAAACCTTTTGACAAATTACTTTAATAAATTAATAACACGTTTGATGAATTTATCAAATACGTGTCTTCGTATACATAAATTCGATCCTTTCTTTTTTTTTTCTTGATAAAACCATCTCTGGTTGTATTTAATTAATAATAATTAATTGTTTATAATGTATTATTAGAAAATTTGTCTCGTATATACTGTGTGGGTTTATTTTTAGTAATTTAATGTTATTTAATTAACAGAGTTTGTTAATAAGTAACTTGTCACGTGTATAATTTTAGATATGCACACACGCGATGGGGTAATAATATTTATTGTTAATCGAATGCATACGGAATTGCATTGGGGAACGTGTTAAATGATTGAAAAGTTTCTTTTTGTTTTTCTTTTATTTGAACAGAAAGAAACGTGTAATCTATAATCAGGTTATTTTGCTTTAATAAATTACATTAGACGAATGCACGAAATCCGTTTGTTTGAAAAAATATTTTGTATATTTTTTTATGTACACTTTGAGACACGCGTAATGAAATTTAATTATTAAATAACGAATGGTTTATATTAATAGAAATGTAAAAAAATAAGATTGGAGAATTGTGAAGTACTATGTAGACGACGTGCTTATATTCCTTTCATATTTTGCGGATCGATGTTATTCAACCAATAGGATTAATGCTAAGAAATACCACAGCCGGTTGTTCAGAATACCGATATTTCGAATATTCCTAATTGCTCGACTGGTTAAACCGAGTATATATTGTTTGAGCGTGCTTGTGCGGCTAATGCGATTAACTATCATTGATTTGTTATCTATCATATACCCAAGGATTTGCAGTTGATGTGATTCTTTTTTTTTTTTTTCCTTTAGAGTCTATAAATTTAACTATCGATATTAATTCAAACTAACATATGTCTGTGTTTAACCAAAATTACAGAACAAAGATACTTGTAATATAATTTTGTTCACACAACTCTTTATATATTTAAATAAAAATATATTAGAATGTTTTACAATTAGATGGGAAAAAAATGTCATGCAAACAATAAATTTATCTCGCATACAATTCGCTGAATATAAGTGAAATATTATAATTTAAAATACAAAAAAAAAAAAAGGAACAAAAACTCGTAATATTTAATGACAAAGTTTGTTAATAATATTCTTGTTCAGCGGGCGTATGATTTTAGATGACACACGTGACGCGTATTTTTTAACAGTTGACTTTAACGTTCATTAAAATTTACAAGGGAAATATCTGCTCTCGGAAAAATATGAACAACCGTTTTTTTTTTTGCAACGGCAGTGGCAATTTGACGTCCAACTAAAACGTATAATGACGATGAAAAGTGTCCATTATGTTTTTACGATACACCCTATACACCATTTGTTTCTTGGCAAACGAATATAAAAAGAACGATCATGGGACCTGAATTGAAGTCGTTAAGAAAGAAACGTTCAAATTTACGCGTTTAAAAACTCAATCATCTACGAAAATTGTACTTTTCTTTTTCTTCCCCCCACCCCCTTTCTCTCAAGCCCTTCCTTTCTCATGCCTTTAAATAAAATGGGGGTGGGGGTGGGGGTATAAGAAAGGAAATACGTATCGTGTTATAAATTATTCAAAAAGGGACGAATTTTACTTTTTAACGAAGAAATGTTTGCCTAATGCTCGTGTTTATTGTTTATTATTTATTTTCTTCATGATTATTTAAATTATATTTTTTCTTACATTATTAGTTTCATCCCCGTTGGACATTACTTTCGATGCTTAAATATTTAAATGTTAATTTTATAATTTTAATTAAAATATTTTATTATATTTTCCTTTTTTATATTTTTGTATTTGTCATTTATTGAAAAACGAACGATTGAAATTCGAGGAGTTTTAGCGAAAATTCTTTCGACTTTACGAATAGTTAAGACTTTACGAATCGTACCGGGAACAAACGAATTCCTATTTCTATGTCGAATAATTTGACATAGCGAGATACGTGCATTCGAGTATTTTAAATATATGCACGAATAATAAATGCGCTATATCACCTTTTACAAATTTCATTTACATCTTCTGTTCCGGCAATTTTCTTTTCTTTTCTTTTTTTTAATTTCAGTTTCTATCTCATTTCGAATTACGTTAAGGCAAAAAAAAGGAAAAAATATTCTTTATTCGAGCACGGGGAGAATAAAAATTTACTATTCAATTACAAGAGCAACACTCGTAACGTTGCGTTGCAATAATAACAACAACGTTATTTCTGTTGAAATTTTTTTAAGAGAATTATTTTCGACAGTAGTCAGAAAAAATATGTGTTTTCGTTTTTATCATCATCTATTTCAATATATATGGAGGAGAAAAACAAAATTAAGCACAAAATTAATTAAACTTTGAACTTGCTCGTTAGCGTTTATGTATTTTTTGTTTCACGATTACACGGTTGAAATATATAATTATTTTGTAAATAATTATTTATATAATATACGTAAAGAGTCAATCATGTAATAAACAATTTGATAATGTCGAACGGATAATTGGTATTAAAATAAAAGATAATAGGAAAAAAGAAAAGATGAATGAGAATAAGTGAAGGGTTAATTTCTTCTTACGTGGTAATTAATCATAATGAATGATTCAGTAGAATGTAATAAACATTAAAATTGTATAAGGGGTTTGTCTTAAAGTTGATAATAAATTAGAAGCCCATACCGGTTGTTGATAATTCTGTGTGATATTGGAGCTGACTTGTTACCTTCGAACGTAACTTCTTTGTCGTCTCAACTTAACTCTCAACTTAACTCAACTTAACTCAAGACGCTTCATTTACGGTGACTTCAATGTCTCAGATAATTAAAGGAAACGGTTATACGAAAGGAACCTCATTCTCGAGGAAGACAATGTTAACCGTATAATTATACTGATAAATCGAATATAGTTAATAATTACTTGCAAGTATTATTATTACATATAAAAATGCGAATAAACCAGAAAAAAAAAAGAAAAGGAAAAAAGAGGAAACAATTTTTTATAGGATTTTAACTGAAATTTCAAAGTATAATTTTTAAATAACATTGATTTTTGTTCCATATTCATATATGTTTTCATATTAGTATGAACACACGCATAACTCATATATAATACACCACACGTACGTTCGTGAAAACGTTGTTGCATTTATCATGCATTTCATAAAATGTCAACGCCAGATACTCGTAAATCTTCAACAAACATCATCCCTATCATAATATCCAAATACGAGGAGCAACGAAACGTTTCTATGACTATCTATCTGTCTAAATCCTATATAGTTGATTAAACATTTCTTTTTATCTTCATTAAAATTTAATTGAAAAAAAAAAGAAAAGAAAAGAAACAAGAAATTAATAATCAATATTCTTGTCCCAACAGTATATTAATATATATGAGTTTCAAAGGGAAAATTGAAGACAGTTAATAAATTTTGATGAACAAATTTATTTGATCTAAAGATATATAAATTGATATAAAGATCAAATAAATTTGTTCATCAAAATTTATTAACTGTCTTCAATTTTCCCTTTGAAACTCATATATATTAAGAAACAAGAAAGTATGAACTCGAACTTACAATTTTTATAAGTTTATACGTTTTATTCCTCTTCGTTAAAAACTTTACGAACAATTTCAAAAGCAGTATATATTTCCCATGAAAAATAATTTATTTTATCCTTTTTTTTTTTATATTTTCCATACGCATATTAAAAATATATTGTTATGAAAATGAATTTAAGGAAACGATTGTTTATTTTCCACTGCACCAGCCCCATCGATTATTATTCCACACCTTTGTGGTGAGATAACGAAAAGACGTGATTACTATTGCGAGTGAAGAATACTTTTGTGTGTGTGTGTGTGTGTGTGTGTGTATGTGTGTAGGGGGGAAGGGGTGTGAGATCGATTAGATTTAATAACGTGAAAAGTGTCGGTCATTTGTTCGCGAAGAAATTTAACTATGTGGGCCGCAGTAACCAGATCGTTGGAAATACTCGTTGCCTTCTTCGAATATTATACTACCAGGTAAGAAAGCAAATATCAACGATTCCATTTAATCGTAACTGGCTATGCGAAATTTATGATGAAATAACAGGAACAGGTTTGATTATAAGTATTCCTCGATTGAAGAATCTGATTAATCGAATCAATTTGAAATATACGATTAAACAAAAGTAATATTTATATATATATTTAATTATTTATGAAATAAATTCATTATAATACAGAATTTTATAATTGATAATCTGTTAAGAAGAAAAAAATAATGTGATAATTATATAGATAATTAATATAGAATGTTTAATATATATATATTATAATTATTTATTGACTTGCCATTTCTCTCTTCGAATCATTAAAAATTGTTTTTAATTCTAATCTGTGATACATTATATTTATTATATAATACAGTGATCGAGATAATTTCATGTTTATCATTTATAATATAATAATGTTTCATTATACGTGTGTTACACTACTCTGTATGCGTATGTGTGGAATTGATAAATCTTTGGTGTTATAAAATACATTGAAATTCGATTAGTTTCTTAGAAAATAGACGTAATATTAGTAACCGAAGTTTAGAAGCTTATCGTTTATTCGAAAGTTTCTCTTTGCGAACGATTAACTTCGTGAGAAGAAGATAATCCTAGGAATAAATCCTTGAAACTTTTAAAGAAGATAGGTACGTACTTAGTACTTACTTCGTTTCGCTCTTATCCTTAAGTAGTCGAAATCATGATCGATATCTCGATCAGTCTGCGGTTTTAGCGAATCTTCTTAATACAAATCCAAAAGAAATACTTTTCTCGAATATTCTATCTTCAATCGATTTCACTTTTCTCTTTTTTTATCCAAAAACATTTTATCTTTCTCATTTCTAATTAACGAAAATCAAAGTGTAATAATATATAAGTAAAGAAAACTTGGACGCGAAAGAAAAACAAAAAACGGACGAGTTTTATTTATCAATAAATTTAAATAACATTTATTAATGAAACGTAAATTAAGTTTTCATTTTTATTACGAAACTTGGATCATAAATAAAAAATAATATAACGGGAACGCATCCAATCATCTAACACTTTATTTATCATCCCATTTACGAGGATCTCATTTTATTAGCACAAATTTATATTCGTTAATATCAATATTTACGCGTAATAATATGATATATATTAATTTATTGATCATAAAAAAAAAAATAAAAAAGAAACAATACAAAAAGAAGAAATAAAAATAATACACCAATGTGTATTGATTTATTCGAAAAATATGCATTTAATTCCATTTAAATATTACGTGTTTCTATATTATTCTCATTTATGTTAGTGTCCTGTCAACGTGGGCAAAAAAAAAAAAAAAAAGAAATTGGACATATGAAAAAATAATAACGACGAAAAGGGTTGGTCTGTTGTTAAGAGCATTTAATTAATTAATCATGAATCTTTTTCTGTTTCATGCACCATTTCACTGTAACTATTGGAATCCAGAGCGCAGTTAGAGTAAGTATCACGTACCATCGAGTGTATTTTACGAGTATCTTAATTGACGTCTCCTATCTTTTATCTATTTCTTCTCTATATTTCTTCAACTAATTTTATAATTATTACCTCTTCTACTTCTTCTTCTTCTTCTTCTTCTTCTTCTTCTACTACTATTTCTTAATCTTACTACTTCTTTCGATTCACAAAATTTCAACCGAATTTAGTCTTCCATTACTATAGAAAAAAAAAAAAAAAGAAAGAAAAAGAAGCAACGAACTCTTCTATTTCGTTCCCCCCACCCCACAACCCCTTTTTTTACTCGATCGTTCTAGTTTTATCTATTTCATATATAATCGATTTGGTACAACTTCCAATTTTCATAGTAAATTAACGTGTATCCCCATTATGGTTGATTACTTTTTAACAATTTCTACATTTTTAACTATATCTATTTCATATAAAAGACAAAAGTCACGTATTCCAACACTCGTTCGTTTCTTTGCTCGAATTTCTTCCATTATTTCGTATTTATCTTCGTACACGTATATATATATATATATA